GTTAAATCTCCTCTCTGATCGATATATTGATATATTAATTGGTTATATACTGAACATTTGTTACATTGTTATTGAAGAAAACTATATCCTGATGATTAGTGATATTGTTTTATCGCCCAGCCCTATTTTACCATATAAAAATAACCACCCCCACTTAAGCTATTTAGCTACTTTAGCCTGACCAATAATATTTTATCAACATATTGTCAGACTCTAACAAGGACAGACAACATTTATATCGAGTAAGAATTGAAATGGTCATCATCCTCACCTCTTGATAGCCACCAGTTCTCCTGACTCGTTGCTTCTCCCCATCAGCACACTGCCATAGGTGCCATCACCCAGCTGCCTCAGGGTGGTGTAGCGATTCATCATCTCTACAACAAATTAGTTTCAACAGCTTTTTAACTTTCCCATAATGCATGAATCAAGTTATGGAAACACACCACTGGCCCATTCATCAAGTCTTTTTTGTTCTATGAATTCTGCTGTAGAAATCCACCAGCCTCTTCTCAAGAGGCGCGACTTCTGTTTTGAGTGGTTCTCATCCCAGGAACAGTGCTCACCTTTTCTTCACGTTCACAGCTCATCTTCCAGAAATTGATCCATGGTTGGAAAATCCTGGTGTGGCTCAGTCAACACTGTGCCTTTGCAAGTCTTAGGTGGAAAAGGAAGAAACAGATATCGTCAGGAACAAACACAATACTTTTCATTAAAGAAAAAAAGGTTGTTTTACCCCAGAAAATCCATCCCAAACTCTTTTTTAGTGCTCTGAGGACAAATTCAAAGCTAGGAGCATTTCTTGTTGTTTTGCTTTGTGAGGAGAAGCAGGTGTGTGTCATACTAGTATGAGGCACCAACATGACGACCCAAAGGAGATGACATAGGCAGCCCTGGGCAGATTAGGCCAACAGGGATGCAAATAGGATGTTACATCACTGTCACTACTTACCGGCATGCACTACCTTCCCCAAGCATTCTGCCCGGCAAGAGGATTTGACTGTTAGCTTGATTAATCGGCCAAATAAATCTTCCTCAGGACTTTTAAAAACATTCTATGGAAGCAAAAAACAAGCAAATGAGCCGACCGATATCCTCAAAGCAACAAGTTGCAAAAACTTAAATGGTAATGACAAAGCTGCACTGCTGCCCAATGTTCTGTTTAACTCTGCACCATGCTAGCCCGAAAATCCTGTTGCAGGGAAGATTGAAAAGTGATGAGTTGTCCAACACATGTTAGTTTCTGAAACAGAAGGCCCACGAAAAGAATGTCATAATATCCTAGCTAACCCTAACCCTGATGCTACTCAATGCTCATAGCTCATGCAAAATGTGTGTGTCACAATTTATAATATATATATGCATTTAAAGAGTCCTCTGGGTATCAAAGGACAATTTCTGACGACCAGAGGCAACAAACTTTTCCCTTATCTATAAATCCACTTTGAGTTTCTATGGAGAATAGCAGTTAAAAGGTGGAGCAGCGTATATCCACTGAGGAGATGCAGGAGAAAAGTGGGTATTTGTGAAAAATAGAAGGTCAATGGATTAAAAGATTAAATTAATTGGTTTCAAATAATAATGCATCATATGTCAAAAATAAGTGTAATGATTTTGAAGATTAGGGTGTAGGGATTAAAGTTCCATCTGTTAGCTGTTTTCATGTAATTTAAGTAAGTGCAACCACTCGGCTGTGTTTCGGTTAAAGAAATCTAATTGCAGGTGGGTCAGGGGCAGCGAAACAAAATAAGATCAATGTTCATTTCGTTTCAAAGAAGGAAGAGGCCAAGAGCTCCCATCAAAAGAGAATGTCCAAACTGAATGTAGCTCTTTGACTCTTGATGATGAACAAATCAGTTCAACAAACATGATGTGAATGTTTGAAATTCTTCAAATAAGAAATAATTTCTCAAAACAACACAATGCCCTGCTTGAAGTCTCACTGAGACAATGAGCGAGAAGACAGAAGTAGAGAGGCCGGCACGCTGCTGCTCAGCACTTAGCTTTCACATATGGCAATCTGTTGTGGAGGGATTTAAAGGGAATTAAGATGTATCCAGGCCACATGACATTAAGAAGCTACTCAAGGTCAATCATATTGAGAACAAGCGTAGACACTAACCTGTCACCAGGAAACTGTTCAATGTGATCTGAAACGCGATTATTCAAGCCCATCCGAAATGAGAAATTTCAGTTTCAAACATGTTACATTTCTTAATAGAACTTTTATATATTTGGTTGTATTTAAGTATTTTTTTTAATAGTAATTAATAACAGCGTTTATGGTTAATATGTCCTCAATTTTCTCTGCTCCTCCCCCACAATTCACTGGCATCGCCCTTGAGGTATTAACATGTTTTCACTCACAAGTAACAAAACATATCGACGTCATCAATTAATTCATTATTACTCAATAAAGTTGTATATATTTAGTTTTATTTCCATTATCTATTTATTCAAACTCGTTAATAATGATGTTTATGGTAAACTGTAAAATCTCAAGCCTCAATTTTATATCTTACTCATAATGGTTTAATAACGGCATCTAAGGAATCATTGACAAATTATTTTATTAATAGTATCGGCCATTTCATGGCTAAACTTGAAATCAAGCCTCGATTAAATTTATTTGACATAAGCGCTTGATAACGACATCTTTTCATCAAAACTGATACATCAGTTT